GTCTATTTAACAATTAGACAACGAGGCCGAGTTGTCTATGAGCGAATAGTCAACGAGGCGAAGCCGAGTTGACTATTTGCTCATAGACAACGAGGCCGAGTTGTCTAATTGTTTTAGTATAAACTTTAACATTAATTTACAACTAGGCTGCAAACACAATACAAAAATACACAAAAAACATTATAAAACCATTAAAGGTAAACAAATATTTTAGTTTTTGTTCGCGTAAAATATTTTACAAAATTCAGTTTTAATTTTAAAATTTCATTGAGTGTATGTTATTTTGTCTATTTTCTGACCCATAAAAATTGCCATTCCATATTTTTGTTGCTTTTTTCGGGTTTTTTTTAGTACAGAATTGTTCAACAAGTCGTCCAAAAAATCATCAGACAATTCGACAAAAGTGCAAAACGCGAATTTTCCGCCATTTTGAATTTTCTATTAGTAGGCTATCACTAATAGCCTATTAGTAGCGTACCCAATCAGAAGGCACGATATGTGATAGCCTACTAGTAGGTTTATACTAAACCTACTAGTATATATATATATATATATATATATATATATATATATATATATATATATATATATATATATATATATATATATATATATATATATATATATATATATATATATATATATATATATATATATTATATGTATATATTATATGTATATATTATATGTATATATATATTATATTTAACAAATATAAAACATTTTCCGTGTTGATATAACTATATATCAATACGGAAAAAATGTTAATGTTTTATATTTGTTTTATAATATAGCACAAAAAAATATAAAGAAAGAAATTTTCCGACGTTTCCGTGTTGACATTGAGTTATATCAACACGGCTCTTAGCCAATCAGCGTTCAGAATTTACAAATGCTATATTATAATTTGCCGTTGTAAACAGGGCACGGCGACGTCTGAAACTTCCGTGAGATTTTAATTGTTGATTTCTGCTCATTTTCGTGTATTGATATGATATTATTAGCCATCTTCGTTGCACTTTCGTCCAGCTTTGTTGACGTTCTCGATATAAACAGTAGTGGTATAATTTTAAAAGTGTAAAATTTAAGCCTGTTTCTTGTCACGTCTCCGTACTAATTAACCTTGCTAAGTACGTTCGCTATTGTTTCATCATAGTATTTTACTCCATATCAGTCACGTTTTAGGGGGAGTTACTATTTTTAGACTTTTAGGGTTAGGATTAGGGTTTAGATTAGTTAAAGGGTTAGGATTAAGATTAGGATTAGGATTAGAGTAAGGGTTAAGTCTAGGATTAGGATTAGGGTTAAGTTTAAAATCCAAAAGAATCCAAAATAACAAAGGTCTATATACGTTTCGAGCGAAGGACTGTATTTAAAACGACAAACTGTATTTATAGTCGGGCAGATAGAAGGAAAAAAACTTACCATATCGTGGGACAATTCCATTTTGCTTTCATATTGTGCCCTGAAGGCTACTAAGTACGTTTCTGTATGTTGGCCGCGTTAAAATTTCTTGTGAGCTCCTGCCGACACGTTTTTCTTCGAATTTTGTAATTAAACTCTATTACAGTTAAAAAATGTGACATTTTCAAATACATTTCTAACACAAATGACTAGTTACATCATTTGAAAGCTTGCAAAAAACTACATATAAGACATTTAAACGGTTACCCAGGATTTTTAAGTTCTTCTTTAGTTATGAGCCGTTGAATGCGTGTTTTCAGACTAGTACCCAGGAATTTTGCGAGATTTTGGCTTATTTTTCACATTTAAAACAGCAATAACTCGAAAACCGCTTGAAAATCCCAACTAACTTTTTTTTTTTAATTAATTTAATAAAGTATCTATCTATCTAACTAACCATTTAAATGTCTTATATGTAGTTTTTTGTTAGCTTTCGATTGATGCAAGTCATTTGTATTAGAAATGTATCAGAAATTTCACATTTTGTAACTGTAATAGAGTTTAATTAATACAAAATTCGAAGAAAAACGTGTCGGCAGGAGCCCACAAGAAATTTTAACGCGGCCAACATACAGAAACGTACTTACTAGCCTTCAGGGCACAATATGAAGGCAAAATGGAATTGTCCCACGATATGGTAAGTTTTCCATAATTTTGAGCCTCTATATCTGCCTGACTATTAACTCTGCTCACAGCCTATCGAAGGGAAGATGGCTGTGAAACTCATTCGAATAATAATATAACTCATTATCTATGTTAGTTAACGTCTATTCATAAATATGGTCCTTCACCGTCACGTGTGTATTGTATTTTTGCCAAATCCACCAATAGCAATTTCCAATTTCCCTATTGTTCGAGTCACGGATAGGTGACTTTCCTAAGACATTGCTATTGGTTAGTTGGGCAAAAATACAATACGCACGTGACGGTGAAGAACAGACTTAAGGCTGCATTCCAGTTACGCGTTTTTCATACGTGCGTACACGCACGTAAAAGTTGAATTCGCTTAAAATTTCATATAAGTGCAAATAACCTTAACAAATACACATTAAATCATACACAAAACTGAATGCTGTCCTTTTATAAATTTAGTTATTTCATAAGTAGGATGTAAAGCGAATTCAACTTTTACGTGCGTATACGCACGTATGAAAAACGCGTAACTGGAATGTAGCCTTTATGAATAAACGTTGACTAACATAGATAATGAGTTATAATGCTATTTTAACGAGTTTCACAGCCATCTTCCCTTCGATAGGCTATGCTCTGGCTTACTGCAAGCAACTTTACTTCTAAATTACTGTATCACAATGACGTAGTCGGGTGTGTCACAATGTCACGGTGAGATTGCACAACCAACATGAGATTGCATGACCAACAACATGATTGCACAACAACATGACACCATTGAGAACAATTGCACAATGGTTATGTCATGATGACAAATTATTGTGCAATATTCACTTGGGCGTAGTACTGATGTCACAATGACTTGACAAATTATTGCTTCATAATATGGCTTCACAAAGTTTTGCGTCATGATGACAGACATAATTACTGTAATCTCATCATGACGTAACACACAATGGCGTAAGAAAGTGGTACGTCATAATGACGTTAAAGCGTCATTAGGTCACGTGTCGAAGTTTTATTTCTGCAAAAGTGTCACTTCATTACAACATAGTAAAATGGTACGTAGATCAAAGTGTCACTTGCGTCATTGTAACAAATCAGTGATGTGGTAACCGCATGTGAAGACGTCTTTAAATTTTTTGGTATTATGGGTGCACCCAAACGACTAATAGAGAGGTTCAAATCTGACTACCACCATCTCTCACTGGCTTGGAACGCATCTGATTGGTTAATTGGATATATCAAACGCATCTGATTGGTTAATGGTCCCTTAATGGTAGCGATAGTGGAAGTCAAATCTGAACCTCTATTATAACCGTCTATGTTCATGGGCTAGTCATGTGCCGTCTAGTTGCAGCTTCCCTCCGCGGAACACAAGCAGTTTCCAACGCATACCAGTGATTGGCTAAGCAATTCAGTACTAATCACAATCTCGTTCCCAGTGCATGATCATGCCACTACATAACCCGCGAACAGGCATACTCTATGTTAAATGCAGTAACTCGTCGAAGTCTGCGACAAGAGTGGAATATGTCAGAGAATGACAAATTGGGCTTCTGATCTTTTGAGCGCATATTGTTGTTCTAGACGTACGGAGTGAATATATCTTACTGTTTCTTTGGGGAAGCGTTGTCGTCACGATATTAAATTATGTTCGTGAGTTTCCACAACAAATCATCTCCTTTTTTACATTAAAAAATTAAATTGGCGGTCTCATCCAGCTTTGCACATCCCAAGTAGATATTAATGAACGCTCAGACTAGAGCAATATTAATAAAACCCAAATATATTGTTATAATTACATAACTCTCACAAAGCTGATGAGTATTATTATAATTACACAGCCCAAATGAAAATTTGCAATGCCGCCAAGCCAATGCTGTCTTGATTAAGATAAAAGTTCAATAAAACTTCGGCTTTAAGCCTTTCATGATAAATTACAACTGAACTTTTTGCTTGCAATGCTTGACTAAATATGTAATACAATCACTTTCCTTATTTTCGTCACTGGAAAACTAATAATACAAATAATACTAAGTATTTTTATCGAACACTGAATAAATTATACCGATGCCCGGTCACAGTAAATTGGCTGATATAAGCTGAGCATTGTGCGGGAAAACCACATTAAATTTTCTTGGCTACTTCTTGGCTTGCATTTCAATTCCTAGTCAGTGCGGTTTCTAGTTGCTAACGAAACAATACTGCATTTTATTGACAACTGATAAGATGCATTGGGGGGGCCTTGGCCACGAATATTGACTTTGTGAATTCGAGAATCACAGAATACGAGTTCGGCGTTTTATACACTGAAATGCCATAGGTATACTTTGCTTGGTTAAGTTGTAGTGTAGCGAAGGTTGTCCAGTTCATTTGTACAATGTACACGAGCCTCAGAGCCACTGACGCATATCGGCGGTTTAATTAAACCAGTTTTCATGCAGCCCTATTCTCACGGAAGTGTCCCATGCGCGTTCTAGAACCTTCTATTTGATCATTTACTCAAAACAACACAATACCGCAGATGCTCGGGAGTTTTGACTTGAACCGAGGTAAACAACGGCGTATGTTGGCAATTTCACCTCGTATACATCGACTGTGTTTTTGGTTCTTGTCTGTAGAACGCTTGGAAATTGTGCTTTGATGCTACCGTGGAAGCTGGCCTGCTAACAGCGGCGTGATACGAAACCAGACAGGCTATATACAGCCATATTTGTCTATGTATACATATTACTAATACTTGAGACAGAAATTTAGTGCTGTATTACCTAGAAGAGATCGAAATAGAAAGGCTTTGCTATCGGTATCATTCGATTCTACATAATATGTGCCTTGCTCAGCCATTATTATTTGAAGCCGTTCGTGCAAGACCTTTGATGGTGCGAAAGTTCCGACCGGGTTTTGATACCTCTTTGTGCTAACTCCAAGGGAAGTGTTCCTATCACGTTTCTGGTCGCTTCTACACCGCGCGTGGCCTTGGCTTGAGCTGCAGATTTTTCTAGACTGAGAAAATTTCTCTCACAAGTCTGCAGAAAGAGTTGGTGCCTCAGAAAGAGCGGTCAAGGATTTAAAGGCTTATAGACCTGGAGGTTCAAAATTAACTGGCGGTCTCATTTTTGAACTATTCCGATTTTTGGTGATTTAAAAGACTTCCTATCACCGTATTGAGTTACGCTTGAACAAAAGTTTCTGGGTATTTCTAATTATCTACAGCTTATGTCAGATCTATAAAATTTTCATACCTAACGAGGCATTGTCTTATCGAGGCTAACGTCCAATTTGGGATTGATTGACCGTGTAGTTTCTGGTTCCCATAAAGTTTTGATGCAAAGACCTGCACGTTTTTGCTGTACAGAGTTGGTGTGCGTGGACTTGCTGTCGTATCCAAAGAGTTGGTGAGCGCGTTCATTGAATTGAATATCAAGTTGCCAGAATTTGAACTTTGCATCAAGAATTGAGCACCCTGCGTCACCTCACCCATATTTGTTTTTGAGTTTAGCCGTTCTAACATACATTCTCCCTAACATTTTACCTCACAAAGTGTTGAAGACATTCACAGAACTGACAAGTCGTGAAAGCAACAAACAACTGTAGCTGACAGAAGAGACCTGCTTGTGACTTGAAAAGACTTGAAAGTTGAATAACATTGACACTGACCTATTGACACCCCTTTTCGTGTGACTTTTACCCTTACTCTACAAGTTTTTGCCCTACGGACTAGTGTGGGAGTTTTCATCTACAAAGTATCCTGCTACGAACAGTTTTCTTCAAAGAGAAAACAATTTTAAGTTTCTAGTTGTTTCTGTTAGTTTATCGCCAATGAAGGTGCACGAAAGCGCGCGTGTTTCATATCATTATCACTGCAAGATGGAGAGCCAATCGCGAAGGTATCACCGCAACGCGCACTGTCGTGACAAACCCGTCCTCCACGAAATCTTCCTCACCCTCGAGGAACTCTCGCGTGGATGCACGAAAAGAATGAAAATCGCTGCGAAAGTTTTTAACGACGATTTTCGCATAATACGCACGGATGAAAAAATCATTACAATGGACGTGCCAGCCGGATCAAAGGACGGTACGAAAATCGTTGTGCCCTCCGCCGGGGACGTAAAACCGGGTATCATTCCCGGGGATGTGATATTCGTTATCCGCGAACGACAACACCCTTGTTTCACTCGTGACGACGAAAATAATCTGATATATAAGGTTGAGATTTCTCTTAGAGAAGCTTTAACCGGGTGTAATATTAATATACCAATGCTGAACGGTGAATTTTTGACACTTAGTACCCAGGATGTTGTATGCCACGGCGCCAGGAAACGAATCTCCGGGAAGGGAATGCCGAGAGGGGGCGGAAATCTGGGTGATCTTCTGGTCGAGTTCTCTGTCAGTTTCCCGGTGGAACTGAACGAAACACAGAAAGAGAGTATCAACTCAATCCTACCAGATTAACTTTGGTGGCCGTCTTTTGAATGATGTGTTTTATTGATGGCATTTGCTTTTGCCTTGTTCTGGTAACCGAGTCACCGAACTGCCACACTCACACACTGTGATGTTTGCACGGTTTAACACACTATGATGTTGTGAAAATTTGAGTTATTTTCATCTAATAACTACACTCATTAAGTATGAGAAGTTGAAAACCATGCTGACTTATATTGCTTGCATTGATTCAAAACCGCAAGGTTTACTTTAATAGTCACTATTATATAGTATTTATATAGTGAGCAATACATTATAAGTATTTATTCCAAAACTTTCATAGTCCTTACAATGTGAATGCATACATGATACATAGCTTAAGTTTTAATTACTGGTATTAGTTTTAGTAATTTAGAAGTTCGTCTTAGACAATAGCGACCCAGCTTGACAAAATATTTCATAATAATCACTCACAAGCGAAAAGGGAAATTTGATTTCTGGAATATTCGCATCTGTTGACAAGCCTTATTTGTATAGATTAACTTTGTTTAGAATTGATTGTATAGCTATCTTAAGTTATCGTCAAATTGTTGAACATGTTTTGGACGATCGAATAATGAAATTTAGGTGGACTTATTGATAATTTCTTATTTTTGTTTACTTATGACACTACTTGAAAACCGAATGTGACAAAGAACAATAGCCATAGTGATGTATTATAGACGCTTGTAAACCTTTCTAGAAGGGCTAATTTTAACCTTATCATGTTTAAACAATATCTGAAATATTGATCATTATATCAGGCTCAATGAATAACAGTTCTAACACAGTTTTTGTCAAACCGTTCCGTCCAAGACCAAAATGTAATTAAAAATTGGAAGAATTGTCAAATATTTACCATGCATGTATGAAATCTCGACTTATTTTGTCTCATACTTTAAACTTATTTTATTATTTACACTTAAAAACTTATTTAGGGAAGCATTTGAAAATAAATCGAACTCTCTCTTATATATTTGCCTGCAAACATATGACTATCTAGTAAAGAATTATATCTTTTATTTCTCACTCTGATAAATTCATGTTGACCATCTTCTGCTGCTCGATATCGCTCAGTATAGCTTGCTAATATATTGTTTTGGTCTTTTGCCTTCGAATATAACACACAGTCGGTAAATTGCGTTGTGCCTGCACACTGGTAGCATTACGAAGCCGAAGGTCTCCTTTTTAGATTTCATCTCCCCAGGGCTTCCAGTCTACCTTCGTGGGAAATTTCTTACCCAACCATGTATATGTGCTAAATTTAGTTGTGCTTTTAAAGGCAACAAACTAACTATACCTTAGAATTAGAAGTGAATGATAATTGAGTATAACAACACAATGGTAGCAAAGCGCCAAGTTAAGGTGGAGTAACAAAATTGTTACAAATTAAATTATGTAACAAAAAATGAAACATGAGACAACATTCGAAACATTTCTAAAGGTGGAGTAATACGCGGGCAACAAAATTGCTGCAACTTGCAACAAAATCTGATTTCAACGCATGTTAATTGAAAATGTTTACACATAAATTACAAATCACGAGGCAACGTGTGTCAACATATCTACTTAAACATGCGTTGAAATCAGATTTTGTTGCAAGTTGCAGCAATTTTGTTGCTCGTATTACTCCAGCTTAACTGACATACATTGAAATCAAGTTTTTTGGCAAGTTGTGGCTCGTATATAGTTACTTTGCCATTATTTAATGAATCGTGCACTTGGACAATGAAACAATTATGTCCACTATAAAGAAACCTAAGGAAATTTATTGACTATAGAGTATTGTGATTCTAACTAGCACTAGACTATATATAGACAAGAGTAGCTAAGTATATAACTGCCAGTGCGCCATTGTGTCTTTATCGATCACTATTGAACCATGCATAGTTACAGCTGCCATGTAATATTAAATCGATATCTGGTAATTGTGTAAAATTAGGATGAAACCAATTTTCAGTGTGTGTACGCAAACTTTTTTATCTGATTCTGCATGGTGGGGGAAGAAATACTCATGAATGTATTTGTTTCTATCATTTTTTCTAGTTAAAGCGGTGTGTTTGTTTTTTAGATTAAATCCCCTTGCATCTATTATTTTTCATTCCAAGTGATATTGTATGTAAATTGTTTTGAAGTATAATCAATGCAAAGTTAGTCCAGAACTTTCTATAATATACAAAGACTGCATGTGGATAGTTGATAAAAAAATTAAAAATTTCTACTACAGTTGAAAATTATTTAGGAAAATCCTGTCAAATACATTCTGGCAAAGGGTCATTGGCAAAAAAAGTCGTTTCATCTCAAAACATTCTGCATGCACGCGTACGAGTGTGTTTATTGTAGAAAGTATTCTAAATAAGTTGCCATGGTTTGTGACTGAAGTACATCAAAAATTACATATCTAAAACACTTGCAACTTTTGTGGGAAGGATCCTGGGAGGTCGAGATTGGTAACCTACTAACTTTTTCATGTAGTTTAGTGACATCGGTTTGCTCCGGTATGACTGATGAAATTGGGCCATTACCATGATCGATATTATGAAGAAAAAAACTTATGCAAGTGTTTTCAGAAGGGTTGCATGGAAATATTTTCTTATCATATGGTATTGACTATATTTCGATTCCACTCCAACATCCTATATAATCATAGCCTCCAGGCTAGACGCCATTAATAAGACATGTGGCATCATTATCTTAGTCTAGAATGTTCATTCATAAATGCTGTTGAAGTGAAGTTCGTTTAAGGTCATCGAACCCTTAATGTTTTGATGGGTTTTCCAGACATGAAACTATAAACAAACCACTATTTGTGATATGCTTGGCCAACTCCAACATGATGCCTGCATCCTTTGTATCTCTGAGCTTCGAGTTAATCTTGACTAACGCCTGGTATTCTGAAAGCTCGCTAACAATCACACTCAAAGAGTGGAGGTTCAATATAAGGTTCCCTTCAGTGTCAATGCTGTTTTTGAATAGCTGGAGGGTGAGTAGTCACAGAGTAAGTTACGACACTAAACCTCCAGCTATTCAAAAAACAGCATTGACACTCAAGGGAAGCTCAGATTGAATCTCCACTCTTTGAGTGTGAGTGGGCTTTTAGAATTCAGGCGTAAGCGTTTTACTGATAGTGACATTGTAAGAGCGACTTGCAGACTGGCAAGAAGTAGGTATCATATAGCTGTTGATTGAGAGCCATTCAGCTACCTGAGAAATACAAGTCGAATCCACTACCTTGACACAGACCGCCATTCGAAGAAGTAGATGTCAAACGAATATCACTTTCCTGGTCAAGGCTTGATAATCCACATTTACCTCAACTTTTCTTTGTTGTTTAACTATCCATATTTAATCAGGCTAGCCACATGATAACGGCAATAAGAATTAATGCTATCAATGTTCTGATCTTGAAAGCCTTAAGCCCATGCAGGTCAAACGAGGACCAGACTAGTTGATGAAAGTTGCAAGTTCTCGCTCGTGTTTGAGCGCTCCAACTTTTCTCACTCAGGGTTCGTAGCGGTCTTTGAAATCCTTGAAAGTCTTTAAATTGGAATGCAGGTCTTTGAGGTCTTTGAAAAGTCTTTAAATTGTGTGAAAAAGCGAAGAAAGTCTTTAAAAGTCTTTGAAGTCTTTAGTGAGTATTTGATTATACGATTTCCTAGCTAATAAAATAGATTGATTGAAGCAAGATTTTCGCAAATATAAATTATTACTGGGTAAAAATGGTGCTTACACTCGCAATTTTTCGACAGTTGATTGCCCTCAAAGGTCTTTGAAAAGTCTTTGAAAATAGGCAGAAAAAATCTTTGAAAGTCTTTGAATTTTTTTGGTCTTGGAGACTACGAACCCTGTCACTCTCATCAAGTCTCATCAACTTTGAACTGGTTCAAATTTTGGTGAGAGTTGATGACAGTTTTCTGTACACGCGCAGTAATAGCCAGTCAACTCTCATCAACTCTCATGCAACTCTGGTTCTCGTTTAATTGACCGTCGGACACGAGAGTTGAGAAACAGGAGAGTTGAGAACACTGCATGCAAACTCGCGCTTCTCTGAACTTGACCGTCAGGCTAGCATGCAATCTGGAGCATGCAAGCTCACGCTTCTCAACTTGACCAGGGCTTTGTTATTATTGCTCAGCGGGCACTGAGATCGTCCGGCTAGCATGCAATCTAGAGAAGTCTCGTTCAAATCCTGTGTTGAAGAATTTTTCTGGAGCTTTCGCAGCTTATAAGCAAAACAAGAAATAATGCTCAAGATCTCTGCATATACAATATATTATATATACGGTTTTTCGTAACATTCATATTTACTTTATCACTAATCATCATGGAACCTCAATTTAAAGTTTAGTCGAGCCCTTGCAAAATGCTAGTTAACAGATTTAGAAATAAGTATATTTTATACCGGAATCATAAAAAAATCCAAATTTCCGTTTAGATCTTTTTTTTTATGGTTTTCACAACTTCTATTTTTATAAATGACAGTGTCTGATTTCCAGAATTTCCTGGTCGTGTGCTATTTTTGAACTGGGGTCATGAGAAGTTCTATACAGGAGGCGTGGTATGTTAATCTGTAAAACGTGTATTTGGATGAGTGGTAGCATGTGTTTTCACCTCTATGATACCTGATCCAGTTTCGATCCTGCAATATTCATGAGTAGTTGGATTACCATAATATAATATACACGAGTAGTTGGATTGGAGAACTACAAAGACCGCTAAACAGTGACTCGGGCTCGGATTTGACTCGGATCGACTCGGATTTGACTCGGTTAACCGACAAACTGGACTCCACTGAACATCTACCAAATGACGTTTCTCCGGGCATTTTAATTTCCTCCTCTTTTAAAACTATATACTGGACCTCTAGGGAGAACAGTTTAGAACTAGCTGATGTGAACTTTTACCCTGGATTCCAGAGCCTTCGACAGTAAATAATAAATTGAAATGTCGCGAAGGCTCTGGTTCAACGGGGCGATTCTTTGATTAAGAATCTGTACTAAAACCACTAATTATGTTTTGTGATTGGCGCGGCTTAATCAAAGAATCGCCCCGTTGAACCAGAGCCTTCGCGACATTTCAATTTATTATTTACTGTCGAAGGCTCTGGAATCCAGGGTAGTGAACTTTAGGTTTGGAAATAATTTGACATATTCGAATTATATATGATGCAGTCGTGCCCATCCAGTCGTCGTGCATTATGAGAACATATATAGATCAGTGGATTAAGGAGTGTGATGCATAATGGCGCCCGGAATACATCTTGGTATTTTTCAACTAAAAATTACTTTAACAAATTCTAAAGTGCATACTTCTTACCCTGCGAGCATAGTCCTCTCTTTTTTCTTTGCTCGCAGGGTACATATGTACTTCTGTGATAATTGTCGCTATAGAGATATGTTTAGTTTCGTACTGGCAAGTTTAAGCCGTTGTTTACATTGATCCTGCTTTGCATGCCATTGGCCGAGGATCCACGCAAGGCTTGCAGGAAGCCTGACTTTAATGCGTCGAAATAAGTCTCTGGGTTCGAAACGAAAAGTCAAACAGCGATGAATCGAGCAGAAAAGTTCTTTATCAGGTCCAGCAACTCTGCATGCAAGAAGATCAGTGACAATATCTGCTTATAGACAAGTTTTGTTCTCGACCATTCTAAAGTCAATCACATGAAAAGTATGCAGTTTTGTATACAATTCAACACGGCAACGCGGGGCCATGTAAGCGGGGCGGTATCTTTTCATTTCACTCTGTGAAGTTTCTTCGTCTGAATTTTTGCCAATGGGGCAAACATTATAATTATGTACTTGGAAAGTAATTTTAACTCTCAGATTTTAATAGACTACATTCGAGAACAGTCTTCGTTTTTTTTCCTCTAGATTGTGTTAGTATGCCTTCATGAAGCTG